GGGAATTTGGGATCCAGCATTCCCAGAAATCTGGGATCTGTCCCTTCCCGGGAATTTGGGATCCATCCCTTCCCAGGAATTCAGGATCCAGCCCTCCCTGAGAATTTGGGATTCAGCATTCCCAGGAATTCGAGATCCATGATTCCCAGGAATTCACGATCTGTCTCATCTCAGGAATTCGGGATTCAAAATTCCTGGGAATTTGGGAACCAGCATTCCCAGGAATTTGGGATTCGGCGTTCCCAGGAATTTGGGATTCAGCCCTTCCTGAGAATTAAGGATCCATGGTTCCCAGGAATTCGGGATCCAGAATTCCTGGGAATCTGGGATCCAGAATTCCTGGGAATCTGGGATCCAGCCCTTCCCAGGAATTCAGTATCCATAATTCCCAGGAATTCGGGATCTGTCAATTCCCAGGAATTTGGGATCTAGCCCTCCTGGGAATTCAGGATCCACCATTCCCAGAAATTCAGGATTCAGCATTCCTGGGAATTCAGGATCTGGCATTCCCAGGAATTTGGGATCCCGCATTCCTGGGAATTTGGGATCCACCATTCCAAGGAATTTGGGATCCGGCATTCCCAGGAATTCAGGATCCGGCATCGCCAGAAATTCCTGCACCCCAAGGGATTTGGGAACCATGGAGAACAGAGCCAGGAATCCCAGAAAAAAAAAAAAACCTGGGATATTCCAAGAATTTTCCATTCCTTTGGGATCCCAAAATCCCCAAATCACCTCCGGGCTCGTGGAGCGGATCAGGATCTTCAGGGTCCTCCCGATGTCTTTTTCCAGCTCCGCTTCCGCCACTCCCTACGGAAAACGGGGCTCCGAAAATCCCGGGAAAAGAAAACAAACCCCCCCCCAAAAACAAAAAATAAAAAATTTTTAAAAAAAGGGAAAAATCTGGGAATTCTCACCGGCTCCTGGAAATAAAACTGATAATCAAAAGTGGGAATAGATTTCATTTTTTCCACGATATCCGTGTCGGGATCGGCCGGCCGGTACGGAGTGTTCAGCGAGGCCACGGCGCTGGGAATTCCATAAATACGGGATCAGGTCGGGAATTTTTCTTTTTTTTTTTTTTTCTGGGAATTTTCTGGAATTTTCCGGGGACTCACCGGAGCCTCTCGGGATAGAACAGGGCCACGTTCCAGGCCACGGCCCCGCCCCAGTCGTGACCAACCAGGACAACCTGGGCGATTCCCTTGGGAAAAGGGAGAGCAGGGATTGGATCCCCCTCCAAATTCCCGCTTTTCCACTTTTTTTATTCCAGCTTTTCCCAATTTTTTTTCCGGGCATTTTCCTCCTTTTTTCCTCATTTTCCCCCTCTTTTTTCCTTTTTTCCCCCTCCCTTTTTTTTTTCTGTGTTTTTTTTTCTTCTCCCCCTTTTTCATTTTTTCCCCTCTTTTTTCCTTTTTTTTTCTTTTCCCTCCTCTTTTTTCCTCCCTTTTTTCCCTTTTTTCATTTTTTCCGCCTTTTCCCCTTTTTTCCTTTCCCCCCTCATTTTTACCTTTTTTATTCCTTTCCCCACTTTTTTCCCTTTTCCCCCTATTTTTTCCTTTTTTCTCCCCCCCTTTTTTCCTTCCCCCCCCTCTTTTTTCCTTTCTATTTCCCTCATTTCCCCCCTTGTTTTTTTCCCTTTTTCCCCTAATTTTTTCCCTTTTTTCCTTCCCCCTCTTTCTTTCCCTTTTTTTCCTTTTCCCCTCTACTCTTTCCTTGTTTTCCTTTTCTCCCTTTTTCCTTTTTTCCTCCTTTCCCCCCTTTTTTCCCTTTTTTTTGCTTTCCCCTCCTTTTTTTCCCTTTTCCGCCCTCTGTTCTTCTTTTTTTCCCTTTCCCCCATTTTTTTTCCTTTTCTTCCCTCTTTTTACCTTTTTTACCCTTTCCCCTCTTTTTTGTTTTTTCCGCCCTTTTTCCCTACTTTTTTCCCTTTTCTTTCCCTTTCCCCCTCATTTTTTTCTCTTTATTTTCCCCTCATTTCACCCCTTTTTTTTCCTCTTCTTTTCCCTCTCATTTTTTCCCTTTTCTTTCCCTTTTCCCCCTTTTTTTTTTTTTTGGCTTTATTTTCCCTTTTCCCCCTCATTTCCCCCCCTTTTTTTTCCTGGTTTTTCCCCCCTTTCCCCCCCTTTTTTTTCCCACTAGCTTTCTTAG